TCGAGGATGAAGTCTAGTTCAAGCGGGGGAGAATTGTAACATATCGATGTTAAGGTACTTCCAATTTTGATCCTATGTTTGAGTAATATTGCATCTTGGCCCTTGGGATTGAAAAGGATTGCATAATGGCCTATAGTGGCAATATGGTAATTTTGGCCATTGTGTAGTATGCTGAGCGTGCGTTGTGTACGCTAGGCATACCCTAGTACGCTGGGCATACACTTCGTACGCGAGGATCATGCAAACCCTAATTTTTAGGATTTGGCTCATATTTAAACCTCATTATAGCCTCACATCTCATTCTTATTCAGCCTCCCTCTATGAGAATCGACCCCAAGCAAACCCTAACTGAATGAGTGCACTTTTGGAGCCTTTAGAGTGTTTAGAAGTGTTCTTGAAGAAGAAGAAAGTGGTGGGAAGAGCTTGGAGTTTGGGAAGCACCTTGGATATGGGATTTCCTTCTTGTTGGCAAGCTCCAGAAGGTAAAAAGTTTGCATCTTGATCACTCCATCTTGTAGATCTAGTTATTTCCTCCTTTAAGGCACTTTTTGTCCCCGAAATGGTGATTCTTGAGCATGGCATGTTCTTGACCCAATAAGTCGTCCTTTCAGACCTTAGGAGGGGTCTTAAGTCATAAAAATGTGGTCTTGATGGTTGGTTTTGCTCCATGCACTCTTTAGAAGGTCTTAATGCATTAAGATGTTGTACTTTGGGGTTTTGGGCACCTAATGGACATGCAAAGTCATAAAGTTGGAAACATTATGACTCTTAGTAGTATTTTGGCCTTGGATCTGAAAGATGGAAGTGAGAGATTAGTGCATTAAGCTCTTAATGAAGATTTGGGAAGTCTGGGCGTACGCCCTACGTAACCTGGAGTACGCAGCGCGTACGTGGTCAACCTCCCGACTGCGGTCAAGACTTGAGTATGCCCAACGTACCTTCGGAGTACGCCCCGTGTACGAAGCCTGAGTCGACTCGGCTTTGTTGAATCATTTGACTTTGACTTTGACCAAGTTTGACCAAGGGGTATTATAGGTATTTTGGATAGTGTTTTAGAATTGGTCATTTGGATGGATAGGTGACGGTTAGAGCTGAAATTCGGAGTCGGGTCCTCATCAGCTATCGTTTAGACTGTGAGGTGAGTCTTCCTCACTGTACTTTCGGGTCGAAGGCACCAAGGCTGGCGCATTGGATTGATATCCTGATTTACCGTATGTTGTTATGCTGTAGTGATCCGTTAGATCTGTATCCTAGTTTATAGGATGTTGCTATGTGGTAGTGATCTGTAGATCTGTCTGTTTGCATGTTGACTGATTATATGCTTATATGTTATGTATATTTCGACATATTGTGTTGGGTTGAGGTTGTACTGCTATGTGTTGTAGCTAACAAACCCGGGAGCATTCCAAATATGAGCTGAGGGCAGTTTGGCATGCCAGACTCATACTGAGGGCTCGAGAGCATTCCAGATACGAGCTGAGGGCCGGTTGGTATGCCAGACTCGTATTGAGGGCCCGAGGGTATTCCAGTCTGATGACTGAGTGGACCCGTTGTATATTGGCATTCCAGTCCGATAACTGATTGGGCCAGGGGTATTCCAGCCCGATGGCTGATTGGACCCAACATGCTTGTTCGTTTTTGTTATGTATTTATGTGGTGGTACTTTGGAGGAACCCACTAAGCTTTGGCTTACGGTTTTTAGTTATAGTTTCAGGTATTTCTAATGATCGCGAGAGGCGAAGGTGTGACCGTACACATCCTCTGTTTTATGGCTTTATGATTTTGGGATACTCTGATATTGATAAACAATTTGTAAACGATGATTTTGTAAACATTTTATGACTATGGGTCGTTTTCAAAAGTTTAAATTTTGTTGTATTTTTTAGTCGTTACATATTCAATTTTAACAATCTATTTAGATAATTTAATGAAGTGAAGGTGACGCTTGGGGTTATTTCGAAAGGTTGTACTTTTGAAAAATAAATAAACAAACATGTAAAGTATATACTCCATGATGAAAAACAACATCTGAGTCTACTTTCTCATAACTCTTACAAAACTAACATGTTAGAATATTATGACACCATAACCGAACTAGAGGGAAGTTTCTGACATCCTACATCAACAGAATCCCAAGTCTCCATCGAAACTACATAGTGATTTATAAACACACTATCTATTGACGAAAGGTAGAAGGCTAACATCCGATCAAAGGATCAATTCCTTGCTGAGACATTAGCAATCGAAAACCCTAAATCGATGTGAGACTAGAAATCGGATAAGCATTCAATTACTTGATGAGAGAATACGTTGTATGAATCAATTTTTTCTCAATTCCTTAGAATAGCAGTATGAGAAGTTCCTCGATCGATTCTTGTGGTGCATGTCGAAATAGGAGTCGAAGGAAATGCAACGGGACTCCGGAGTTGATCTGTAAAGCGACAACTGATAGCATATTTTTAGGGTTTGTAGGAACACATGTGGTGGTGGTGAAAAGGTGATGTGATGGTAGTTAAAGGCTGGTTGGTACGAAGATAGTGCAATGGTGGTTCAGTACGGTGGCGATGGAGGTTGAGAAGGAAGACAAAGGATAATGGGTAGTTGCTGCTCTTATGGTTAAAGAGAATAAGAAAATTGAAGAGCAGGTGGTGCCTTAATTACAAGTGTCCACTCCTGATTGGTTCTCGTATTTTTCACAAATTATTTGTGTTTTCACATTAATATATATATATATATATATATATATATATATATATATATATATATAGAGAGAGAGAGAGAGAGAGAGAGAGAGAGAGAGAGAAGCAGGTTCAATGGAAAATGAATAACCAGGGCAACATATGCTGGAACCAATAATCAAGCGACACGTGTCCATTTCTTTATCCATAAGTAATGTCTTATGAAAGTTATTTATATAGTTTCTCAAAAGTGATATGTTGTCATTTTTTCATTGGTTCCAATATGTGTTGTCCTAATCATTCATTTTCCATATAACCCTTCCCTATATATATATATATATATATATATATATATATATATATATATATATATATATATATATATATATATATATACATACTAGGCGAATCCCCGCGCGTTGCGCGGGAATAGAATTAGATAGTTAAAATAATAACTTTTACCAAATTATTATTTAATATTTCTACTTTGAAACAGAATGTCAGTAGTAAAGCAAACATATAGTTAACATATTAGTATTATTAAACATTATAGTTTAATTTTTAATTCATTGTGATATATACAATTATTTGATAATTTTATAAACCGTTTAAAATTGTGTAAATTATATATCAAATGAATGATAATATAACGGGTAACAAAACGTATGAACAAAAATATGAACTGCAACTTTTAGTAACATAAAAATAGAAAAACATCTATTATAACATTTGTATTAAAAATATATATACAACGAATAATAAAAAATATGAAAAATAAACACTATAACTTTTAATAACATAAAAACACTAAAACAACTATTATAACATTTATATTAACTCTTCATATTTAAATCACAAATCTCTTCAAATACAGTAATATTTTTAATGAGCAAAACTTTACAACCTTATAAAAAAAGTAAAATAAAAAGTTATTAGTGATTACTAATTAATAATCATAAGTTAAAAACTCTTGAGTTGTAACTAATAAATATACATAAATTAGAAAACTCTTGAGTTGTAGTGTGAGTTTCAAATGAATGCGGTACTTGAAAATGTATATTTATTATTATTATTATTATTATATTCGTCTAAATAATTGGTTTTGATGCATCATTTTAATCTCTTCAATTATTAAACATAAAAATATTTAATTATAAATTTATAACATACATAGGTGCATATACATGTTAAACAAATCAAATATAATATATATATATATATATATATATATATATATATATATATATATATATTTTCGTAAATGTCATATGTAATTCTTGTCGTAGTAATATGGATAAATTACTTTCATATGAAGAACATATCATGATAAGTCTATCACAATTACAAATCAAATGTTCAAAATTATGTTATCTTTTAAATATTGTCTTTTAAATATGTTGTGTAGGATAATCCAACAAAAAATCATAGAAAATAAACATAATCAAAATAGAAAAACTACAATCAAATAAATAAGTGCATTGGGTGGTTGAATATATAAATAAAGATGTTACATAAACATACATTTAAATCAAAAGAAAAAACTAACATTCTTCAACTTTGCTCAAACAAAAAAACCTATATCCATTTTATGAATCTTCTTTCTTCATTTAACATCATTCAACCATAGAAACTTGATGACAATTCTTCACTAACCTGCAATCAAAATATTTTTCTTGAAAAAGAAGGATCAGAAAGATATTCAAAGCAAAACATTGATGTTTAAGGAGTCATATTCAAGATTGAGTAATACACACAAATCACATATAAAGATTAAATGAGAAACTGAATATAAAGAAATAATAGAAAAGCTTCATTTGTTTTGGTTGAAAGAAAAAATCATATTACAATTACCATTGATGAGACATAACCCATTTCTTCAAATATCATATTTGGATCGTGAATGCTTCAACTATATGAAAACTTTTGAATCACAATATCTTCAAATCCTTCTTACATGTAAGATTTTATATAACACAAAAGACACAAAAGATTGACATTTTTATAGTAAAATTTTCACTAAATGCTAATTAAACATAATATAAGTTATAAAACTTTTGAGTGTTAAATCATAATTAAGAAAACTTTTGAGTTGCATTAGTTAAAAAATGGGGTTTCAAATGAATGTGATGCTGTTAGTTTTTTTTTTCTTAACGGCAAATACAAATATATATATTAAACTACTCTTAAATTATTCCACCTATGTCTTCTTGTACATATCATACATACTCATATGAGAAAAAAAAAAGAGGAAACGACACCGTATGATAATTTTTCTTGCATCTTTAACGTACTACGCACACAAACACAACCGTACCGCTATATAATAACTACAACAACAATTAGGGTTTTTTTAACCCTCTTTCTCTTGATTTTACTCCCTCCATCGACAAAATTTTCTCTATACACTTCTGCAATCACCGGTCGCCTTCTAGCCGATCGGTTTGAATTGAATTAAAACACTCACATTTATCCTTAATTTATCAATTTCAGTTCTCAATACTTCTTCTTGTGTTTGTTATAGATTTTGGGTTGATTCGGGTCCTTTTCTTGATACATCGGGTGTTATTTTGTGTGATTTGTGAGCGACGATGATAAGGGTTCAGTGGTTCTTCGATCGTCGTTGATCGTTGGATACGAAAGGGGGTTTGGGGTTTTGTATGGAAACTCGTAGCCGGAAGAGGGCGGAGGCCACCTCATCAGCCCATTCTTCATCATCATCCGGCGGACCTTTCACACGTTCCAACAAACGCACTCGTCTCTCTACTACTACCTCCTCCTCCGCCTCAGCCGCAGCAGCTTCCAACGTTGTCGTTCAATCGGTTTCTACTCGTTCACGCGCTACTAACATGGAAAATTCCACCAACGAATCGTCCGGGTCTGGGTCGGGTCGTGGCCGTCGCAATAGGAAGAGTAATAACCAGAATATGGTATCGGATAGGGATAATTCGGAAAAAGGGAAAGAGAAAGAACATGAAGTTAGGGTTAAGGATAGAGATAATATCAACAGAGACAGCCCGTATGGACTGAATATCGATATGAGCGCTGATGGAGGTGATGACGACGACGACGATAGCGAGGGTGGGGGTGTCGGGATTTTGCATCAGAACTTGACTTCTGCAAGCAGTGCACTTCAAGGTTTGTTGAGGAAGCTAGGTGCAGGGTTGGATGATCTGCTTCCTTCATCAGCAATGGCGTCAGCCTCTTCATCTCATCAGAGCGGTCGTCTAAAGAAGATCCTTTCCGGTTTGCGTGCTGATGGGGAAGAAGGAAAGCAAGTTGAGGCATTAACACAGCTATGTGACATGCTTGCTATTGGAACTGAGGATTCACTCAGTACCTTCTCAGTCGATTCCTTTGTGCCTGTGCTTGTTGGGTTGCTTAATCATGAGAGCAATCCCGATATTATGTTGCTTGCAGCAAGGGCACTCACACATCTGTGTGATGTTCTGCCGTCTTCATGTGCTGCTGTGGTGCACTATGGTGCTGTTTCTTGCTTCGTTGCTAGGTTGCTTACCATTGAGTACATGGACCTGGCTGAACAATCCTTGCAAGCTCTTAAGAAGATATCTCAGGAACACCCAACTGCCTGCTTGCGAGCAGGGGCTCTAATGGCAGTGCTCTCTTATCTTGACTTCTTCTCAACAGGAGTCCAGCGTGTGGCATTATCCACTGCTGCAAACATGTGCAAAAAACTCCCATCTGATGCAGCTGATTTTGTCACGGAAGCAGTTCCCTTATTGACAAATCTTCTTCAGTACCATGATGCCAAGGCAAGAACTACAATCTTTTGAATTTATATACTTAGTAATGGTTAACTGTCTTCTTTCTTATCTCATTATGATCTTTTTGGGTATGTGTTCTATGTTTAGGTTTTGGAGCATGCTTCAGTTTGTTTGACTAGAATTGCAGAGGCGTTTGCATCATCTCCTGATCAGCTGGACGAGCTTTGTGCCCATGGATTGGTTAAACAAGCAGCCTCTCTCATCTCAACCAGTTGTTCTGGAGGTGGACAAGCATCCCTCAGTACATCCACATACACGGTACATAACTAATTTGCTATTGTTTGCAATAAAGTTCTACTCTTTGGTTCTGTTTTACTTATTGTGAAGCTTTGCACAGGGCTTAATTCGATTGCTATCTACATGTGCAAGTGGCTCTCCTTTAGGATCCAAAACTTTGCTCCTTATGGGAATCAGTGGGATTCTCAAAGATATTTTATCAGGCTCTGGTCTTGTTGCAACAATGTCTGTGTCACCTGCCTTGAGTAGACCACCAGAGCAGGCAATGTTTCTCTCTCTCTCTCTCTCATGTTGTTGATTATTCAGGATGATTTCTGATTATTTTGTTTCTTTTGGTATGCAGATTTTTGAGATTGTGAATTTGGCAAATGAGCTTCTTCCTCCATTACCCAATGGAACCATAACTCTTCCTGCCAGCAGCAATCTATATGTAAAAGGGTCTCTTTTGAAGAAGTCAACTGCTGGAAGTTCTAGCAAGCAAGAAGAAACAAGTGGAGGTGCACCTGAGATTTCAGCTCGGGAGAAGCTGTTAACTGAGCAGCCTGAGCTTTTGCAGCAATTTGGAATGGACCTTCTTCCTATTCTGATTCAGGTTTGGATCAAAGATAAATAGTATAAGTTCTTTATCTGCATCTGCAACCACCCATAGAAACAAATTGACATTTCTTTTGCTCTACAGATGTATGGCTCAAGTGTAAATCAACCTGTGCGTCACAAGTGTCTATCAGTTATTGGGAAGTTGATGTACTTCAGCACTGCTGATATGATTCAATCTCTACTTGGTGTCACCAACATATCAAGGTATTATTTATGAGTAGATAACATCTATTTATCCTTATGCTATATCGATTTCCATTTTCTTTGGGTTTTGTCCAAGCAGGAATCTTTTTCTTCTTTTCAGTCCCTATTCCACTCTTCTATTACCACATTTCATTCGTGGGTCGTCAATTTTAACAACCCATCTCCTAAATTTGTGAAATTTACTATTTTGCCCTTGTCTACACATTCTAATATTTTTTGCTTTTTAATGAGATTTCAGTTTCTTGGCTGGGGTTTTGGCATGGAAGGATCCACAAGTCTTGGTACCTTCACTTCAAATAGCAGAGATCCTAATGGAAAAACTTCCAGAAACTTTCAGCAAAATGTTTGTAAGAGAAGGTGTTGTTCATGCAATCGACACACTTGCAGGATCTGGATCAGGATCATCTGGTAACACTCTTTCTCCACCATTATCAAACGAGAAGATTAATGATTCTATTCCTGGATCATCATCCTCACGCTCAAGGCGTTATCGACGCCGCATTACTACCTCCACTACAGATCCAAATCCATCTGAAGATCCCCAAAACATGGAACCAGGCCCCACAGTTGACCTTCCAACAGTCAACTCCACTCTCCGTATAACAGTCAGCACAACTGCAAAAGCATTCAAAGACAAGTACTTTCCTTCCGACCCCGGAGCCACAGAAGTCGGAGTCACAGACGATCTTTTACATCTAAAAAACCTCTGCAAGAAGTTAGGCTCTCCAATCGATGACCACAAGTCAAAATCAAAAGGAAAGTCAAAAGCTTCTGGAAACCACTTCTTTGACTTTTCATCTGGAAAAGAAGAAAATTTATTACAAGTGATCACCGAGATGTTAACCGAACTCAACGGGGTTTCCACATTCGAATTCATCGGTAGTGGGGTTGTATCCGCTTTATTAAACTACTTCTCTTGTGGACATTTCTCAAAAGAAAGAGTCTCAGAAGCCAATTTACCTAAACTTAGACACCTGGCTATTAAAAGATACACATCTTTCATAGAAGTTGCACTTCCTGCAAGTGTAGACGACCCAAAGCGGGCCCCAATGAGTGTTCTTGTTCAAAAGCTACAACACGCGTTGACCTCTTTAGAACGTTTTGCAGTTGTGTTAAGTCATAGTTCAAGGTCAAATTCCGGAAATGCCCGTCTGTCATCTGGTTTAGGTGCTTTGTCTCAACCCTTTAAGCTTCGGCTTTGTAGGGCACATGGGGAAAAAGGTCTTCGGGATTATTCTTCAAATGTTGTTTTGATTGACCCGTTGGCGAGTTTGGCTGCTGTGGAGGATTTTCTTTGGCCACGTGTGCGACGGAGTGAGTCTAGTCAGAAGGTGTATGTTGGGAACTCGGAGTCTGGGACGACACCTGGCGGGGCTGCGGGTGCTTCGTCACCATCGACTCCGGTGTCTGCGACACGTCAGCAGTCTAATAGGTCTAGGGGTTCGATTAGTATAGGGGATAATAATAATAATAATAATTCCGGGAAAAAAGAGACCCCACAAGAGAAAAATGCAAGTTCTTCAAAGGGGAAAGGAAAGGCTGTGGTGAAGTCTGGTCAAGATGATGGGAGAGGACCTCAGACTAGAAATGCTGCAAGGAGAAGAGCTGCTTTGGATAAAGATGCAAATATGAAATCTGTAGATGGGGAGTCTACTTCTGAGGTATGCTTTTATTATGTGTCAAGAAATAGCAATGTACTTTGTTTTATTTTCCTTTCAGTTATCATTGCATTCATTTCCATTTCTTCTAAATACAAACCAGTTTTCAGTGGTGTAATTTATTTTGTTCTGGTATAGGATGAGGACTTTGATATATCACCTGTTGAGATCGATGATGCATTGGTGATTGAAGAAGACGATATTTCTGAGGATGAAGATGAAGATCCTGATGATGTATGTTTCATCAGATTATAAATCCAAACCCCATTAAGTTAAAAAGAAACCATGAATGAATTTTTTTCTTTCTTAATTTACAGGTGTTAGGTGAAGATCTTCCTGTTTGCATGGCAGATAAAGTCCACGATGTTAAATTACCCGAATCCAGTGAAGAAAGACCCGTTGACACCCAGACAAATCCCAATCCCGCTTCCGGTTCTAGCAGCCGAGGAACCGGAATTCGTGGTTCCGATTCCGCCGATTTCAGAACCTCAAATTCCATGGGTTCAAGGGGTACAATGTCATTTGCTGCTGCTGCCATGGCTGGACTTGCATCAGCAAACGGGCGGGGCACCCGGGGCGGTCGGGACCGCCACGGGCGACCCGTTTTGGGCTCCAACGATCCGCCCCGGTTGGTATTCTCTTCAAATGGAAAGCCACTCAACCGGCATTTAACCATCTATCAAGCTATTCAAAGACAACTTGTTCTTGATGAAGATGATGATGAGAGATACAACGGGAGTGATTTTGTATCTAGTGATGGAAGCAGATTATGGGGAGATATTTACACAGTTACATACCAACGAGCCGATAACCAAACCGTGGGGTCCACAACCCCATCTAAATCCCCCAAAACCGGTTCCACCTCAAACTCCAATGATCCACGAACACACCAAATGTCACTTTTAGACACCCTTTTACAAGGAGAGCTTCCTTGTGATTTGGAAAGAAACAATCCAACTTACAATATCCTATCTTTGCTACGTGTATTAGACGGATTAAACCAGCTGGCGCCACGTCTGCGTGTCCAGTCAGCAACCGATGGTTTCGCGGAAGGAAAAATCTCGAGCCTTGACGATCTAAATGTTACGGGAATCCGGGTCCCATCAGACGAGTTCATAAACGGGAAATTGACTCCAAAACTTTCTAGACAAATTCAAGATGCCCTTGCACTTTGCAGTGGTAGTGTTCCTTCATGGTGTTATCAGTTAACAAAAGCCTGCCCGTTTTTGTTTCCTTTAGAAGTCAGGCGTCAGTATTTCTACTCAACTGCTTTTGGTTTATCTCGTGCATTAAATCGGCTTCAAAATCAACAAGGAGCAGATGGACAAGGGTCGATGAATGAGCGGGAATTTAGGGTTGGGAGATTACAACGCCAAAAAGTCCGTGTTTCTAGGAATCGGATTCTTGATTCTGCTGCTAAAGTTATGGAGATGTATTCGAGTCAAAAAGCGGTTCTTGAAGTGGAGTATTTTGGTGAAGTTGGAACTGGGCTTGGGCCCACTTTGGAGTTTTACACTCTGTTAAGTCATGATCTTCAGAAAACGGGGTTGAACATGTGGAGGTGTAATTCTCAGAGTGTTGACACGTCACCGGATGTTGACCCTGATGAGAAGAAAGTTGACCTTATTTTAGCACCTCTAGGGTTGTTCCCACGTCCTTGGGCTCTTACTGTTGATGCTTCTGATGGGGGGCAGTTTGGGAAAGTGATAGAACATTTCCGGCTTCTTGGTCGTGTCATGGCTAAAGCACTTCAAGATGGGAGGCTTTTGGATCTGCCACTTTCAGCTGCTTTTTATAAGCTTGTGCTTGGACAGGTAACTTGTTTACTTCTTGGACAGGTGTCTTTTTCTTCATTATATTATTTGGGATTGATGAAACATGGGGTTTGTTTTAATTACAGGAACTTGATTTGCATGATATTTCACTATTTGATGCTGAATTAGGCAAGACATTGCAAGAATTGCAAGCTCTTGTTTCCAGGAAACAGTATCTGGAGTCTATACATGACAGAAACGAGATACTCAACTTAAGGTTTAGGGGTGCTCCAGTTGAAGATCTTTGCTTGGACTTCACACTTCCTGGATACCCTGATTTTGTTCTCAAAACAGGCGATGTTAATGTACTTTAATCTTTCTTCCATCTTTATTGTTTATGGGTTTATGACTTTATGTTTATCTAGCAAGCAATTTGATCATGAACTTGTGTTTTCCAAATTTACAGGTTGATTTAAATAATTTGGAGGAGTACATTTCTTTGGTGGTTGATGCTACTGTGAAGACTGGTATCACAAGGCAATTGGAAGCATTTAGAGCTGGGTTTAATCAGGTCATAATCTTTGTCTAATATGCTAAATTGTTTATGGAATTAGAAAATAGACAAAATAATTTTTTTTTTAAGCTAATGTTTTGTCGTATTACTACCAGGTTTTTGATGTTTCAAGTTTACAAATATTTTCTCCAAGTGAGTTGGATTATTTACTTTGTGGGCGAAGAGAAATGTGGGAGGTAAATTGGTCAACTTTCTTGTATTGTAGTTAAACTTAAACATAACATGTGTATTTCATGAAAATGATATGATGTAAAGAATTCATGTTTCTTTTAAATGCAGGCTGATACACTTGTGGAACACATTAAATTCGACCATGGATATACTTCCAAGAGCCCTGTAGTAATTAATGTGCGTAAAAATTTCTTTTTTTTTTTAGTGATATTCAGGGAAGAATTATAATTATAAATTTATAATATAATAAAATGTATTTTGTTTATGTGTCTTTATTATTAGCTGCTTGAGATAATGGGAGAGTTCAATCCAGAACAGCAAAGGGCATTCTGTCAGTTTGTTACTGGTGCACCTCGGCTTCCTCCAGGTGGCTTGGCTGTCTTGAACCCTAAGTTGACCATTGTCAGAAAGGTAAAAACACACACCCCCTACCCCTTGTTTTTTAAATTTTATATAGTTGAATTACCAAATTGCCCCTCCTCAGTCACTAACCCTTTATTAATTACAGCACTCTTCGAGCTCCAACAACACGACATCAAATGCTGCGGGTGGAGTGTCGGAATCTGCAGATGATGATTTGCCAAGTGTCATGACATGTGCCAACTACCTCAAGCTTCCTCCCTATTCCACCAAGGTAAAATCGGCTCAAATTCTTAAAACTACTTCCATTTCATTCTATCTGTTTCATGTGATACTTATTAATAAGACATTAGACTTGTAAATTACCAATTGTAGTTAGATAGTTTTTCCAGGGTACAATAATTGGAAAAAAAAAAAAAAAAAAAGGTTGTTGATATTCCTAATAAGAAATATATTGTATGTACAATGCTATAAGTGGGTAGATTTTTCAAACTAGGATGTTTTTTTTTTATGTAATGGAAAGAAATGTTGATATATTGCGTTAACGATGTATTAATGATTTTGATTACAGGAGATCATGTACAAGAAACTAGTGTATGCTATTAATGAAGGGCAGGGATCATTTGATTTGTCATGATTGGAATTGTGTATATTTTGTATCCCAGAAAAAGATCATCAATCAATCAAATCTTTGAAATCATTTCTTTTGTTAACTGGTGCATAATTATTGGGGGGCTACTACTCTACTCAATAAACATTTCTTTCGGTGGAGGCATAATACTTAAGATCAGGTCAGTATCTAAATATTTTCTCTAATTTTTTTTTTTATTTTTTTTTCAAAAAACAAAAAACCATAACACACTTTGATTAATTATTGATTTGGTTTGTTGTTTAGTTGAATGTGCGGAAATGATTGGTGAAAGGTGGAGAGAAAGAAGGAAGTTGAAGTTGAATTTTCTGGATGTTTTAATGTTTTAATTATTACAAGGCTTTTGTAAATAAATAGTGGAATGTCATAAAACTTCTGCTGCCTGCTCTGCTTACAACTTTGTTCTCACATTTTCATTTTGCATACATTTTCTAATCTCTGCTTTATTTACTTGGAACTTTTTTCCCTATACATGAAATAGCTGATGCAACTTTTATATTTATTTTTGGTCTCCGTGGTTGGTTTTGTTTATTATTTTGCTTTTCATAACTGTTTTTCTTTAAGAAGGTGACAAAAAAACTCCCTGTATTTTGAACATTCTTTTTGAGAATATTTGTTTGTGTGTTTACTGGTTTCCTAAAAAAGGTTAATGGCTGAAAAAGCCTTATACTTTGGTCTCTATTAATGAGTAAATGCATTTTTTCCGTTAAAACGTTGAGATGTTATTGTGAGAGCTAATAGAATGTTTATGTATGACAAGAATGTGTATCAAACAACAATCAATGTTTACTTATGCCGAAGACAACATTAGACTTAAATACTTATGCTAAAGAGAACATTAGACTTAATGGAGGTGGCAATTGTTGTGGACATGATCTTTATAGGAGAGTGTGGATGCTCGATATTGATATTTGTTTGTGTTGCTATGTTGTACTTCACTTCGGATTTTGTAAAACCTGAGAGACGAGACAAAGGAGGTTAGGAGTAGGGTGAGGATTTGGAATGCTTTTTTATGCCTAAGTTAAAGCAATGAGTCATGGTATTATGAGGGTTTACGTTAGGTCACTTGAGACGGGGCTTCAACTTCCTAATGTTTTTGGGTGTATAATCAAGAATTATTGTATTCATGTCTCTCCATGGAATCCTAATGTTATGTCCAAATTGATAGGTTTTGAGCTACTGTACTGTGCCAATGGGATCTTTATAGAGAATTAAGAGGTACGATAGTTTCGTCGTTATCATCCTATTATCTGCATGCAGTGGTAATGAGAACACATTCTTTACTCGCGATCATGATATTGTAATGCGATCTCAACTTTTCCCAAAGGCTATTTTGGCACTGACTGAGATGAGCCTTTCCTGCGGACAACATAGGAGGCGTGCTCGTTTATTCGTTCATACATGTACATTTTTTCTAGATTCTTTATTTAATGCCACTTTATTGGAATATTTCTCATATGATTGGAATTTGATGTTATATGTTTGTTGGTGTTGAAGTGAGTTCGAAAATTTCTAAACCACAATTGCATCTCCTGTTGAGTACACAAATTTCGTTGAATTTTAAGTAAGTTTGAACCATTGGATCAACCTTTAGACGTCATTTGTGAAGAATTACTCTGATGAGAAGAAGAGAAAAAGTTATGTGGAATTTGGTTCAATGCAAACCTATATTTGAAACTTAATCCCGCCACATAAGATCCGATGTGGCTTCCATATCACATATTCTCATGTCATGTAACAACCCAAAATTTCAAGCAAAATTTTTCATAACAATCCAACGTTTAATAACTAGAAATTTCCATCATAAGTTGTTTCCAAAATTCAGTACATCAACATATTATTCACAAAGTTCAGAATGTCCATAATAACTAGTGGGGAAAAATGATGGAGAGTGCACGTTGCGCCATCAAGCCGGACCTTTGCTCTTAGAGCTAGAAGTACCTGAAACATTCAACAAAACTGTAAGCATGCGCTTAGTGAGTTTCCCAAAACACACAAACATAACATCACATAATACCATGCACACATACATATAAGTTTGTCATGAACTCCTTCCATGGTATTTATTGGAATGCCATGGGCTACCCCCATGATCTTATGTCCCCGAGCCATGGGCTCCTCCCATGGTCTTATCATATGTCATGGGCTCCGCCCATGGTCTACACATAAGTCCACATATAGATCAAATAGCAAACAACTACATATTCCAATACAATCATCTTATAACCATTAATGGGCCGACCTTGGTGCCTTCGACCCATGAGTGTAGTGAGAATACTCACCTCGAATATTGAACGATAGCTGACTAGGTCCTAGCTCCGAATATTAGCTCTACTCGACCCCTAAACAGAATCAATTTCTTAGATTCAGCTCAAAAATGCCCCAAAACCCCTTATTGGTCAAACTTGGTCAAAGACCAAAGTCAAAAGTCAAAGTCAACAGTCCAAGTTGACCCAACTCGCCGAGTTGTCCTTCAACTCGTCGAGTTTATCCATTAACTGCACAAATCGGGAAAAGTCTTATCAACTCGCTGAGTTCACTAATGAACTCGCCGAGTTAGGGGCTGTTTGTTTGCCTCTTAATTTGAAAATTAAGAGGCAATCTCTTAAAAATTCAGATTCAGACCGTTTGGTAGCCTATTATTTTTTGCATCTTACTTTTTGTAAATGTCTCTTAAACTTCAGATATAGAACAATGTCTGAAATTTTAAAAAACACATCTTTCCGCTTGTACCCCCAAAATTTCAACGCTTTTTTTCTTCACCTCATACTTCAACGAGACCGACGCCCACTTCTCCCTTTCACTTCCTCTCCGAGCTGCCTCCCTCCACCAGCGACTTCTTCTCCGCCGGTAGCGCCGCCTTCCTTCGTCAAAATAGTCGATTTTCCGATTCCAGGTGAGATTATCATTCTGTTTGCCCTAAAACTCGATAATAAAATGTTTTGCTTATGATGTTTTTTTATCTGAAATCAAATAGACATGGTTGTTTGTTTTTTCTTTCTTTCTTTCTGAAATCAGATTCTTGAATGGTTAGGAAGGTTTTTTTCTTTCTTTCTTTTTTTTCTAAATCAGATTCTCGAATGGTTATGAAGGGTTTTTTTTTTTTGTTTTTTGTTTTTTGGAATGACTTTCTTTCTGAAGTTAGATTATTGTTGTTTTGTTTTGCTTGCTAAAATCATATGTTTTCCTTGATATTAAAATATGTTGATTTGTTTTTCTAAAACCTGTATTTGTTTATTGAAATGGTTTGGTTTTATCAATGCATAGATGTTAGTTTCTGAAATCAGTTCATATAGATGGTTGTTTTCTTACACTCAATTGGGAGTGGGTTATTGACTACAAAGTGGTCAACATTTTTTCATAAAAGCTATGTTGAAGAAGACAAGAGTTATGTCCAACCTGTATTTTAAAGTTATGAACATATAAAGTGGTTTAAATGTTGGTAAAATGTTTATATGTAAATGTAGATTTCTCAAATTTTGATAGTTTTGTTGGATATTTATTATTATTTTTAATCAAAAGGGTAAAATAGTCATTTTTTATCGTTCAACATAGTAATTCAAAGGTTCCAACCAAACAGCATGTTAAAAGTTCAGATCTTAAAAATTCAGACCTCTTAAAAATTAAGATCTTGCCAAACAGCCCCTTAGCCCAAAATCTAACAGCTTAATGCCTTAAGCTGTTTCCATCGATTCTAAGGACTCCAACTCTCAGATCTCCTTCAAAATGATGTCTAGAAGAGTAAACTTTCCAACTTTACTCTTAGGAACCATCCAAGTTGAGTCAAACCTAAGCCCTAGACTCATTAGAGTGAGGCTTGATCCATTAATCCCTTAAACTCTCAAATCATGGTCCCAAAACACAGATCTAACATCCAAAGGCTCGAAAATCACGTAAAGTTTCCAACTTTACGTCCATGCATGCTAAAAAGAAACCCTAGGGCTCCAAAATGGGCTAAAAAGGAACTTAATGCATAAATGGGACCTAAGACCTAGTAAAGTTTGCAACTTTAAGCCAAATGAGGCCATAACATGGCTAGATCTATCATGAAAACCCCTGGAATACTCAACTTCTTGGACAACTCAACCATGAGCCCAAAATCAAGGTAAACCCCCAAAACAATAGATCTAAACAAAAACAAAGCGAGGTATAAACTTTATACCTCCAAATGACTGAAATGGGTGGAGAGATTCTGGATCTAGGTCTTCCTTCCAAGCTATTGCACCTTCAACTTCAAGGATCCTCCAAAAGTGTGCAAAATATCAACTTTTAAGGCCTTCCACAAGCTCACACACTCACAAGGACGATGATACACTCTTTTACGGTTTTCCTGGATAGATGAGGCTGGTAAGGAGGCCAGCCAAGAGACTTAAGGCCTTTAAATAGGGTGCAACACCCTAAAAATTAGGGTTTTCTTCCCAACCGCCAACTTATCGAGTTAAGGCACCCCAACTCATCGAGTTGGCCCATTAAAGTCTCGCGGCCAAAACACTCTCGACACGACGAGTTGAAGCCTCCAACTCGTCGAGTCCCAAAGGAAAATATTAAATAATTAGAGAAATAAACTTATACCGGAACCACGCGTTACAAATATCCCCCACTTGAATCAGACTTCGCCCTCGAAGTCCGCTACCGCGAACAATTCTGGGTAATGCTTCCTCATCTCCTCCTCGGGCTCCCACGTCCATTCTGAACCCTTCCGGTGCTGCCACTACACCTTTACTAGCTTCATTTCTTTGTTCCGTAGAGCCTTTATTTTTCTGTCCATAATCGCAATGGGCTTCTCCACATAATTCAGGCTCCCATCAACCTGAATATCATCCAAGGAAATGACTGCGACCTCATCAGCAACACACTTCCGAAGTTGAGACACGTGGAAAGTGTTGTGGATCTGACTGAGCTCATCCGGTAGATCCAATCGATAAGTAACCCTGCCAACTCGGGCAGAAATCATGAATGGACGAATGAATCGGGGCCCCAACTTGCCCCTCTTCTGAAATCGAATGACACCCTTCCATGGTGACACCTTCAGCAAAACAAAATCCCCTACCTGAAACTCGAGATACGAACGACGCCGATCAGCATAACTTTTCTGATGACTTTGCGCGACTCGCAACCTGTCACGCACCTGCTGAATCAACTCGGTGGTCTTAAGAACCACCTCAGTGCTTCACATAACTCGATTCCCAACCTCCCTCCAACAAACTGGAGTCCTACACCTCCGACCATACAAAATCTCAAACGGGGGTCGGTCAATACTAGCATGATAACTATTGTTATATGAGAACTCTGCTAGAGGGAGGTAAGTATCCCACCTCCCCCCGAAATCTAATACACATGCCCGAATCATATCTTCGAGCGTCTGGATCGTCCGCTCACTCTGACCATCGGTCTGGGGGTGATAAGCAGTGATGAAATGCAATTGAGTACCCCAATCCTCATGAAACTTCCTCTAAAATCTGGAGGTGAAACAAACATCACGGTTCGAGACCA